CCCAGACTTATAAGAGACCTGCCTGCTGAAAGCTTGACTTGGGTCTTGTGAAACCCAGAACAGATAAACCAGCAGAAGAAATTTGGGTTTCTCACCCAGAGACATTTGAGATAATAAATGTGTTTTCGTAAACTGCTAAGTTTGTGGTAATTTGTTATAGCAGCTGTGGAATACTAGCATAACCTCCTTAAAGGGGTAAAGAGTCTGTTCGAATCCAGCCTCTGCAGATGGTTGTTCCATAGTGATTTCCTTGGTCCTTCCCCATCTACCACTTAGGAAGGAGGCTTTGGTCCTTGGACACTTAGTTAAGTTCACTGATCAGTGTACAGATTCAGTGTCCAGTCTCAAATAAGTCAGGAGATTAAATTCTCTTTTCTTTCTAACCTTACCTGTTTTCTAAAACCTCCTAACTCAGTGTTATCTTGCAAGAACCAGTAGATCCTGTGCCAAATCTACTCACAAAGCAATTTGGAAAAAAAACAACCAAAACTTTGAGTGCGGTGGAAGAACCCAGAGCAGATGAGCAAATGTCTAAACTTCACTTCCAACGTAAACAACAGTGGTTGGGGCTGTTGCTATCAGAGGGATTCCATAGTCAGGGATGGGACAGACAGAGGACGTCTGCAGGGAGTTGGAAGCCCCTAAGTCAGGGGAAAGGTGGGAGATTCTGGGCTTTCTGTTCCACTGGCAGCAGAGTGCAGCCTTATTTAAAGAAGCAGGGGAGAGCTAGACAGCAGGTCAGGATCCAGATCTGGACATGAGAGCACACTGGGGAAGACCCATGGGAGGAACAGTGTAATTTGGAGAGTGCTCGGTCTGGTCCCATGTACCAGCACCGGGCATTCAGCTCTAAAAGAACCCTGTGGATAGGAGCAGGTGGACTTTAGGCAAATGCAGGCCATAGATAGTCCCCATTTTCACCTCATTAACACACCTGGGTTTAGTACATTGGCTGCAGATTCCTTCTTTTTATTTACCAGGAGACATTGTGGAGTAATGCGAAGAGAAATGAATTAAAAGATAGAAAGTCAGCCTCAGATTGGGAGGGAACAGTGTGGGCTCTAGAGGAATTCAGACTGGGATTCTAGTCCCAGCTCTGTCACTTACAAGCCAGGTGAACTCAGGACAATTACAAAATTCTGTGAGCCTCACACTCTTCATCTCTGAAATGAATTTGACAAGTAGTCCTCTTGCTTTTGGCTCATATATATCTTGTTAGTAGGAAAGTTGGACTGCAACTTATGCAAGACACTGGCACAGTATCTGGCATGTACTGGGTTTTACTAAATTTTAGTTATTACTATAATTATTTTCACTCTAAAACCTACTAACCTCCCTTCTGTTTTTTTTTTAAACCACAAATTGTAGAATTTGTAGCTCTCTAGGATATGGCAGAAGAAATCAGCCAGTGTGTTGCTTAGTATGTTAAACTAAGTTACTTGCTGTATTAATTTTCTTAGGATATGTAATTTGTTTTTGGTGTGGGTGATTCTGCCCTGTTTGATGCAACTCAAAACTGAAATTTATGTCAGAGCCTCTTTCCATCCCTTCCTTATATCTTCTCTTCCATCCAAAACACTTGTATTTGCAATTATTTTACTTTTATCACAAATCTAGTTCTAGTTTAGATTTACCAAATTACATTCCAGATAACCTAATTAAAATGCCTGTTTATTGGATGGACTATGTCTCTCCCAGCCCAAGGCAAAGACTGCCAGCACAGTGGCTTCTGAGCATTTCATCTCATGTGAGTATCACTTTTATTTCTCAGACACTCTCTTTTTATGATGTGCAGAAATAACCTAGTTTGTGGACTGTGTTCTTCTGCACTGGAACAAGAGCACAGGACCTCTTCCACTCATGCCCCAGGTGAAGATTTCTCTCTGCTTTATGCATGATCTTAAAGTGCTAAAGCAGCTTTCTAGGCTTTAGTCTCTCAATCTGAGACACTTCGCCTGAGATTTTAGTCTCTGCCCACCACTCAAACAAACTCATCTTACCCACTACCCAGCTTAATTAAAATTACCTCACACCCAAGGACTTGCAGTTTCCCAAGTTCTCAAACCCCTTTGCCATAGGATATTTACATTTGACTAGTCACAATTGAAACCTCCAAGTATTCACACCATCTTTTGACTTGTCCTTTTGGTCCTAGGGGATATCTCACAATATTCCTTATGTTATAGCTGCACCAAAACTTTAAAATTCTATGGGCAGGAATGGTTCTTGTTCATCTTAGTATTCCCTGAACTAACACAGAGCTTTGCTTAATTATTGTTAGGGAAAAAAAAATTGGCCACTGAAAAAGAGGTCTAATTTATTATAATATTATTTCTCCTACATTCTTGAATAAGCTAAATATATCCAGGTACATCTATATCTCTGTGTGTGTATGTGTGTGTGTGTGTGTGTGTATACACACACACATATGTATATATATATGTACATATGTATATATATGTTATGAAACAACAGACTAAAAGTGATAAATGAAACCAAGAACTTATCATCTTTTATTTATTTCTCCATTTATTGACCCCAAATGTTACACTGTTGAGTTTTTCACATTTCCAAGGAAATGCCTCATCTATTGTTGCTATCTTATTCCAAATTACTCAATAAGGTGGAACTTTTCCAACTTGTTTTACAAAATAATAAAACTCTGAGTCTTAAATCTCATTGACAGCAATAGATGTTTGAGCAATATCATTCATAAATTTAGATTATGAAGCTACTTAAACTTTCTATTAAAAGGAATAATATGTTTTTTAAAAATTATCCAAGTTACTACATTGAAAAGAAACACACATATGTTATATACTATGTTGTCTCCAGCCCCATTCTGATCTTCTACTGCTTAGAACATGGACTTCTCTTTTTAAGAACAAAGTGAAGAATCAGCCTCAGACTTTATTGGGGCGGGAAGGACTTGTGGCCCTGGCCCTGGAGCGTGCACTGGCCATGGCAGCAGTATGAGCCTTGGCTGCAGCTCTGGCTCGGGCTCTCTCCACCTCATCTTTCACAGCCTCTTCATACAAAGATGGGAAGGCTGTGGGGACTGTATCATGGATCTTGGCCATAAATTCCAGCACTTTTATCTTGCTGGTTTCAGCGTGGGCTCTTGGACCCCACAGGAACTCATAGCAGGGAGGATCACTATTGGGCACCTGGCGATACTCCAGGTAATTTGCCTCCACTAAATCTTTGGTGATGAGCTTCCTTGGCTCCCCAAAAATGAAGTGCTTCCTCCCAGCATATAACCCCATCAAATTCAACATTTGCCAGACTTGCTCCTCAGTGGCGCAATTGCCATTCATGAATATCACACCCAGAACAGCCATCACCAGGCCGGTTTTGGGAACCTCTCTCACATCATCCAGAATTGCATCATAGCTTATTTCGAGTTTGTTAATAAGGACATAGATGTGCCGGTAGGGATCCACTTCCTTCAGGTCAAGGCCAAAGACCATCTCCATGTGTGCAGAAGCTCTCTTGAGGATCTCATGAAAGCGATTCCTGTACACCTGGATTACATTTCTCAGCATATCTGCCTTGGTAATGGGCTCTTTTATTTGATACTTGTACAACAGGTAGTACACTGATAAAACCACCATCTCATCTAGAGGGTCTCTGTTGGTGGGCTCAGTGTGTGAAACAGCTGTGGCTCTCTGAAGAACCTGTGGATTACAACATGACCCAGCAATAAGTGAGCTTTCGGAAATACCTTTGAAAAGAGGAGAGGAAGCAGAGCGGAACTCTTCTCCCACTCCCACAGTGGCCTGGGTACCTACCAGATCCTCTTCTTGGGCCTGCCGGCGATTCTCACGGGCACGGAGCTTACTCTTCCGACCCCGAGGCATGATGAGTTTCAACAAGTGCAGCAGGCAAGGGGGCAGGTGACTTAGTGACCTAAAGGAAAGAGGATGAGATTGTTGGACCACTTCAACAGGGAGATACAGCCTTGGCCTTATTGAAGGCTGCTTCTGCAGGTTTCCTTGAGGGAAACTGTTCTAGGAACCCACAAAACTCCTACTGTCTGATTTGCCTCTGCTCTGAGGACTCTGTGGAAATAACTAGGGTGTGCCTTAGCTCCAACCTACCAGATCTGCCTGAGGCTCAGTGGGGCTTAGAGCAATGGCTCTGTTCTGAGTTAGGGAGTATTTCAATTCACCTAAGGGTCATCACTTCACTTTCGGCAGGATCTGGGGTTCCTGTGCTCTAATGGTCTGATGTTATCCCCTCATTTGAAAGACCTTATCACTGAGACCTCAGAGGTGGGAATGAGCAGAACTTCATTGTACCACACTTGCCCAGGATACACAGGGAAGAAAGCACAAACAGAAGCTCTGTGGGAACCTCTCTATCCTGGGGTAATTAGGGGTCAGTTCTCACTCAGTGCCCTCACTTGCACTTCTGGTAATGCCTGGGACTCCCCCCTTTGCTGACAGAAGATCTATCCCCTCAGATCAAGGCCCTCAAATCCCTGAGAGTCCTGAGGAGGAGGTCAAGGAGGCCTCAGTCTAACTTCTCTGCCTCAGGCACCCTAGGGGCTAATGGCATGGATAGGATTCTCTGTGACCCCCAGGGTTCTAAGGCAGGTGGTCCCCTCAGTCCTCACACTGACTGCTGGGAATGCCTGGGTTCCCTCTTAATGCTAGTGAGGCAGCCCTCCATCTTGCTAAGATGGCCCAAGGAAAATGCGAGGGGGTGCCTCAGGCTCCCACCCTGACCCAAGGCCTCCAGGGGCTGACAGCAGTGGCGGGGCTTGGCGAGGTCCCCTTGGTTGGGGGTGGGTGTTTCCCTGAGACCTCATTCAGTACCCTTGCCGTAACACGTGGCCGGGCCTGCTCGCGCCACCCTTTCCTGGCCTGACGACATCTTCCTCTCATTCTCGAGTGTTCACTTCCCCTGAGACACCAGAGACAGAAGCCAGGGCACTGTAATACTTCATTTCAGCCCAATGTGCTACGGGCTGGGCTCTGAGGCCGCCTAAGTTTGGGGCGGGGGTTCCCTCAGGCCCCACATAGGGTCGCTGCTTTTACCCCTCCCCCACCCCTTCCAATCCCTTTAAACGGCGCCCCCCACCCCCGTTAAGGCCTGGGACCCGTCCTTCTGCTGCTCTAAAGCCGACACGCTGTTCTTTTGCCCTCATCCTCTTCCGTCCCCTCAGGGAAAATTTCAAAGATGCTGGGAGGTCGCTCTGTCAGATGGTTCCGGTCCTGGTTCTACCAGGGCTGAGAGCAGGGTGAGACTCTGGGAACCCCTTTAATCTGGAGCGGCCAGTCCCCCTACACCTAACTCGACGTCTTTACCGTAATTCAGGCGGAGTCTGGGGCTTCTGCCTGGACTGATCGAATGGCGCCCCTCTGACACGAGGCGGAAGTCAGACTGCGTCATAGTCTCAAACCACCACATGGGGTGCCGTGCGGACAGAAGGGGCGGAGCTCTGAGGCCCCCTGCGTTCCAATGCCGGTGGTTCCCTCACACTTTCTCGAGTCCTCGCCTTTACTCCCGTTATGCCTAGCTACTGTCCCTCTGCTGGTTCAAAGCTGACACCCGGATCCCACCGCCCTTACCCGCTTCAGTCCCCTCCGACAGTTCTCGGAGGTTGCTACATGAGATGATCCCTGTTTGGGTTCTTTGGGGGCTGATAGCAGGAGCAGGACTCTGGGAGCCTCTCTCTTCTGGGACTGGCGGTACCTTCATACCTAACTCCAGATCTTTACTGTAATTGCAGGCAGAGCCCAGAGTGCCTCCCTCAGTATACAGACCAATGCCTTTGCTTCTGTGAAACCCCAAGGCAGATATTAGGGTGTACCACTTTCAGTCAGCTTTGCCTGGGATCTTCCAGGGCTGACACAGGGGCAGGGTTCTCTGGGGTCTACTCTGTTCTGGGGTTGGAGGATTCACCCGGAATTCACTTAGGGTTTCCCCTCACCCCTCCAGGCTGATCCTGGGTATCCTCCCCCTGGTTAACTAGCCTTAAACAAAGGCCCTCCCCACATCGCTTTCCAGATTCCAAAGTTGTGAAAGGAAGGGGCTTCTGAGGCTCACAGCCTTGGCGGGGCCTCCCAGAGCAGGCCACTGTGCTGCCCATATGTTCTCGGGCTCCCTCAGAAATCAGAGTTCTCATCTTTACTTCTGTTAGTACCAGGGACCCCACTCTCCATTGCCCACAGCTGACACCCAGGTCCAATGCCCCCAGTTTCCTGAGTCCCCAGAGGAGAAATTCAGAAGGCACTACAAGAAATCCCTGCACAGACCTTGCCGGGACTGAAAGCAGGTGTGAGGTTTTCGGATCCACTCTCTTTTGGGGTACAGGTCCCCTGAAACTCAGTCAGGGACCTTACCTAAACTCCTAGGAGAGAGCGGAACTCTTCCCTCCCCTGACCTGATACTGCCCCCCACCTCAGATCAAAGTATTAACATCCCATTGACACCAGAGACAGAATTCAGAGGAAACCATTTTTATTTTGGCCACTCCTTTCTGGAGATTTCCAAGGCTGACAGCAGGGATGGGGCCCTATGTGGTGGCACCTTCTGTTCTGGAATAGCTGGTCCCTCTGACCTCATTCTAAGTCTCACCTTTACTTCTCTTAGGACTTGGGATTCCTCTGTCAACTGGCCTGAGTCAGGCCAGTGCACTGTCCTCACTTTGATTTTACTGTATTTACTACAGATCAGGTGATGACTTCAGGAATGGCTAGTACAAAATCTATTTTTTTTTATTTTAATTCAATCAAATTGGAGTTATTTCAGTAAAAAAGATGTAGTTTTGGATTCCACATATATCTGTCACCTCCAGCCAATTTAACAAGAAACTACACCAACTACAATGGTTCTCTATTCACCATGTAAAGGTTTGCATTGTGGCCCAACCCCCTACTCCAGTCAGTGTCTAGCAGCAACACAGACCACCAAACACAGCCAAAGTACTTCTGCCCTATGGTGTGCAAAGAAATCAGGAACTATGGGAGGCAGTCTGAGCTGGGGGTAACACTTGAATTGTTTTTCAAGGCAGGTCTACCTCAGACCTTTATTTCCGGAGTCACTGAGGTAATTGCCTTAGAGAACTCCCCCTCCAGTTTCCCCCTCCTTGCAGCTGCATACCCCCTTCCTCTACTCATTGGTAATACTTACCCTATTTTAACCGACCAGATCACCAGCCGGGGAGAAACAGCATTCTCCCTCAGGCATCAAGACAACTCTCAGCCCTGGTACACTGGCAAGGATGTAGAGAACCACCAGAGTAGTAAAGAGATGTGCTCTCCCAGATTCCATCAGTAACATCATTTGGAGGGTGACACAGGGGAGCTGCCTATATTCTGCCTGACAGTGGGTAAGGGCATTGTAAGGGAGGGTGGGCTATCAGGCATGCCTCTGGTCTTTTCATCCAGTAGATCGTCCCACTGAGATCACCCTATAACTTCAGGGTAGTAATGACAATCCCAATATTCCCTAGCCCATCTTTATAAGTTCTTCATTACCCTCCACCAGATTTTCCACTTTCTCTCCTTCTGGTACCTTTTCTACCTTTTGCTGAAGTCTGTATACAGGTCCCTGACTTCCAGCTGTCCAGGGCTCTCTGGACTTGTTTCAATATGTGATCTTTCTCATGGATTCTGGAAAGTCCTCCCTGCCTCCCCTCCCCACAACATCTTCTTGATGTCCCTCACTTAGTGATATTTTCCTATCCAGGCTCATTTTTCCTGGCATCTTGTCATTCTGACAAATCCTTGCTTCTCAGGGTAAAGGGAAAAATTTAATTAACTTATCAAAATTCTTAAAGCATGTGCTCAGAGGAATCCTGGTAATAAGACATAACTGCAGAAATCCTGTTTCATATGAGTGAGGAATTATGTTAATTTTCTGCCCTACTTAATTACAAAACAGGGAGATATGAATTAAAATAAAATTGATACACCGTAATTGCACCAAAAATGTTGCCCAAATTTTAAAATTGATAAAATTAAATGCCTGAGAGAGTGTAGGGTATTCACATAAACTAATCTGTGAGAATATGAATTGGTGCAGCATTATTGAAGTACAATTTCAGAAATACTAAAAAATTCACAATCATAGAACTCTTTGCACTCTAATGCAATTTGCACATTTGTATCTCTTTCCTATAAAAAATAATCAACGTTTGCCCAAGAACCATGTTCAGTGTTGATTTCAGTTCTATTAATCATAGCAGCAAACAGGAAAAAAACTTGTGTGTCCATCAGGAAGAGAATGATTACATTAATTATGGCACATACACCCTTTAGAATTCTAGGGAGTCGTTAAAAGAGTGAGGTGGATCTATATGTGCTCTCATGGAAAGATCCTGCATTCATTTTGTTCAGTGAGAAGGACAAGAGGCAGAACATTAGGTACATCATTACGCATGTGTTGTTAAAACTCAGTGTATTTTTCTGTTTTTTTTCTTCTGCCCTTACAGTTCTTACAAATTTTCTGTCTCAATTTATTCATCTGAAAAATGGGGATAATGACTGTCCTTACTTAGTAGGATGATAGAAAATGATTAGAAAAGATAGGCCAGAGAAAACGCTCTTATATCTAGTAAGCACCCAATAAATGTTACATAAATTTACTTCAATGATTATATTCTAGGAAGATGTTCATGTTCATGGTATGGGTCTAATGCCTTCTATTCCCCCGCTAAGAACCCTGTGGTTCACATGAGAGGAGCTTTGTTTCTGCCCAATTGAACATTCCTTCTCTGCCTTTGGAACCCCATACCTTGCTCTTTCAAACACACCTGAGTCCATGTCTGTTGAAGGCCTGTTATGTAATATGTTGGAAGTGAGATGGAGAGGAGGAGAGACTTGTAAAGATGACCCCTCAAGAACTTCAGATCTGGCAAGAGTGATAAAACCTATTATTCACAAGAGAGGTGCAGATGGAAGTAATACAGCTAGATATTTATGATAAGCTAGAGTGAGAATGGGGTTCCAACCCTGCTGTGATCCCGCATAGTTTGTCTCCGTGCTCACTAGAGAGAATTTAAAAAGGAGTCACCAATAGTGTATTTTTCTAGCACAAAAATGTAAGGAAAAAATCTAGAATAAACTTAAAAATTATACACAGAAGGGTTTTATTTGTAGTTACTTCTAGTTGGGCCTAAATTTTACAGCACTGTGCTAAGAGGGCAGAATCGTGA